GGAACGTCAGCATATAAAAAAAACGTGGATAAGCAAAATTATATAGGCCTATTATAACGGAAAGAATGCAACAACCATATTTCTGGATCACAAATTCTAGGTTCTCGGCGGTTGTTTCTGACCGATTGCCCTAGACCAAACCTCTTGGCATTATTTGGCATGAATTTGTATTAATAATATAAAATATCAATTCTTACGAAATCGCTGGTGAGGATCATGAATGTAGTGGTGATTCGACAGTGGCCTAACTATATACCATACGAACTGGTTGAACCACATGTTCCACCCCGGAAAATAAATACAAATTTAAAAAAAAAAGGTAGTAGAGACTGAATATCTTCAAATCTTCCATTACAAGGCATTAAATTGACTCTCAGAATGCAGGAGAGAACATATTTAAAAAGTTTTTCTCATTGGAGGGGCTCCCACGGGCAAACCCGTTTAAGTTCCAGGCCCTCAGCCATCTATTTGAGCCAGTGCGTTTCTAAGAATCATGAGTTAAAGGTCACCTGCAGAAAAAAACCATACGAAACGAAACATTAAGATCTACACTTTAATCAGTTTGCCGTACAAATGATTTCAAGATTAGGCCAGTGAAGTTTCTACAGGGGATGAATGGGAGCATGGCCCGGTATTTGCGCCCCCTCCCCCCCTCCCCCAAACCATCGAGTTTTTAAATACCTGGTGTTATTGCCCCCTGATTATGTGTCCCCCTCTCCACCTAATGCTTTAAAGATACGCCACTGGACTAGGCTCCAACATGAAATCTTCCTTTAAGCAAGTTACTTTTTTCGGGGAAAATCCAACTTTAAATAACTACTTACGTCGAAGAAAAGTTTTAGTTATTGCCCAACTATCTTTATGATAGGGCCTATAACTTTACTAAATAAGCAATTTTTGAAAACATAATAAGGCTAAATTTTAAGAACTAAACGAAGCGAATAAACTGTAATAACTTGGTTTGTTTACCATAATCTGATTCTGAACAATATCAAAAGAGTAAGGTTCTAGGCAATTATATATATAGGTATATTTTTCTCAGTTTCAAAAAACCTGACCCAATTCGTTCCTCGAACTTGATATACGAATATGATATCGTCACGGTTAGAGCCAGACTCATGAGGTCAAATTCATTTTATTGGAGTTTCTAAAATCAGTCGATGTAGACCATGCTTACACTTTTCGAAACACTAGATGATACTTCTCTTTGGGGCAGTCCATTACTTTAATATTTTTACTCTTGATTTTGCCATGCTTTGGACGAGATTTTGATTAACGGAATTGTCTTGCTTGTACGGATTTGTATTGATATTTTGGGGCCTCTAGTTTTTGGGAATTTTCACCATACACTACCAAACACAAAGTTGGCAAAACCTTTGATATCAATACAAGGCTCAACCATTAATGAATCCATCGAGACATTTCGAGATATTCTGCATTGTTCCGGTACCAGACCAGAATACAGTCAAGAGAGAGACATGATTGAGCAATACTTCTCTATAGGTGGTCAAGACCCCGTCAAAACAAAATTGTAAAAGTCCTTTAAGTCCTAGCAGGATATCCCTGGCATAGGTCTCCTAAAGTGATCCCTTGGACCATCCAGAGAGTTGTTCGATCCATTATTTTGACAGTCTATGTTCTATAGGTTTCAGGGAGTACTGGTTATGGACTGACATATTCAAAAAACAACCATCTGCCATCTGGTGGTTATTGATGTCTAAAGTCGTCTCATTAGTGTGCTGCACGGAGAATGACATGGGGAGCGGACCAAAAGAAGGAAAATGACACATATTACTTTTCCATATCACAGTCCCGAATTAAAAAGCATGTGTTGGGTAGACAGACATTCAATGCATTCAAAATCACCTTGAATGAGTGTGACTGACGAAACAAATCGCAAACCCTTTGGAATTAGTTCGATGCTGATTGGGAAGACGAGGTAAAGAATTTTGCATGATTGTTGGCACAGAACATGGAGTGGGTCTTGAATCATTTGTGATTCACGTCATACCTGGTCAAGAAATCATTCAGGTCCACAGAAATTGCTTTGTATATCAAGTCGATTGCAATTTGGTGCCAGCTTATAGAGAAGGGAGAGAGAGTCCGTCTTCTCACGAATATATTTTAGGCAGTTTGAGGCCGGCTTTTATAATACACAATGATACAAATTTTCAGGATTGTAATACATTTATTTTTAAATTGGATTGAAAATACACAATAAATTCATGTGTTACCACACAATGAGACATAAAATAACGTAATCAGGCTGGTGGATTCAGTAGTCTCTACTTCCAGATTGTCTTACTGATAAATATCGACCAATAACATCGCAGGAATAAGAAACCAGATAAGGTACACTACATTTTGATTGGCTAACACGTCCATGGTCAACCGTTCAGGGTGTAGTTTTGCCCATTCTGACTGGCCACAATGTCGAACCTAACAGGCTTTGCTCTGTTCTGATTGGTTATCCAGACAAGATGTCTGATATTTTGATTGGCTAGACGGGTTTTACTACATTCTGATTGTCTATCTTCCTGTGATCTGATTGGTTATAATATTCTATGAGCAAACTGCTCTAAATCATTATTAATCTAATTAATGCCATATTTGGTCTGATGATATCGGTCGGGCAGAAAGAAACAAAACAAAAAGCCAAAAAAAATATTTTTGAGACTTTATAAACAAGAAAAAAAAGGGGAAAACAAAAAAAATGAATACTGATAAAAGACATATTTTACTTAATTTGAAAATTTTCAAAAATTTCCCAGAGATGGATATGATATCAGTTTTGGGGAGCCAGTACACAGCTGCCCATACTTGACCTCTAGAGGTCAATAGATTTTCAACTGTAAAAAGTTCGAGGTCACTGTGTACCAGTACCCTAAACTTTCAGAAATAACATCAGAAAATATTAAATTTCACATGAAGTTGTTCATTCATTCATTCACCCATTAATTCTTTCACTCTCATTCATTCAGTTTTTTATTCTCCTACACTGACTTAGGAATGGAATCTAAGTTAGTGAAACACATTGGTGTTTCATGGTATCTTTCTGATGCCAATTTCAGTCCAAATGAAGGTTTTTAGGATGCTATTTAGCACTGGTTTGTAGTGAGTATACTGGGAGAACTTGCCAGCCAAGATAACATATGCCAACTTAATGCAGACTGTTAATATGAGTCTTGATTCTGAGCTCTGTTATATCTTTTCACATTTGCAAATTAATTTGATAGATTAATATTTTAGAATTTTTGATGGAATAAAGTAACAAAAGGGAATCAATGCATGGTCGTCAAGACCAGTGGCCTTATTCTTCATAGCCAGTTTTAAGTCGATTTTTAGTGATTGACCAATCTGGACTGGAACACTAAAATCTGAAGTTTATTGATAATAAGGCCCAAGATTTGTCTATCAAATGCTCCTATCAATTTTAAAAGAAATTGGCAACATGAAGATTTCAGATTGATATCGTACACAAAACAGACTAACAGCTAACAATTTCTACAATGTCTACAAGGTTGTATACAGATTTATAATTTTATACAAAAAATATATATAAATATACACTTTCTACAAGCTTATAACAGATTCTTTGCTCTTTTTGAAATTTTTGCTTCTTTTGAACATTCCTGAAATAGTGGCACCGAGGCAATCATTGACTTGGATTGTAAAAAATAGTGCCCTTTGAATCAGTAATTACAAATTGTTTGCAATGTTTTAAACTTGCTGAAATATTGGCATTTCCACTGCAGCAAGGGCCTCCTACCTGATGGAGAGGGTGTCACTTGTGTGTTTTTTGCACCCTAAGTCTTGGTAGCTTTATTAGTTTAGACAAAATATGAATAATAATAACTTGCAATATCATCATTGGCTAATTCATTGATAAATATATTTAAAAAAAAACTGGTTGCAAATAACTTTTAACTTACTCTTGAAGAAACATGACAGCCTTGATGGATTTCTCAAATAAATTCAAAATAAAGCTCATCAGCACTTTTTCATTTTATATGGCACAAATGTCCTAAAACTTTACCAGTGCTGGCAAAATATCTCAAAACATTTTTGAGGTTTTCTAGGATTTTCATGGCTTTTAAGTCCAATTTGATAAAAATACAAAAATAAATTCCAATCTACCATCATAGAATATCAAAGTACCAATGTATCAAATGTAAGATTCCATTATCAAGGCAGAATTTCATCACAACCAAGATCATTTAAATTCGCTTTGATTTGAATGAGCAGTATTGAGCAACTAGATATTTTTTTCTTCTTTTTTTGAAAATACATAAAGGGGAGACAATTTGGTCGCTAGGCAACAAGTGCACAACCATGGATGACATAACGTAACAAATAATGTTTTAGATTTTCAAAAATAAAAATATCAATTTACATAAAAAAAATGGTTTGTTAATATCAGCTTCCACTTTCCTGCTTAATATCCACAAAAAGCCTCGTTATTTTTCGATTCTTGTTACGATTGCTATTATAAGTTATAGCCTTTTTCTTCACACTGAATGGTATTCATGGCGCTAACTATAACTCCTTCAACATCTTAAATAATATCGTTAAACTTCAACCAATTCACACACGTCCTTGACCTTCACAGATTTTTTTTCAATACATTCACATTGTATGAACTATATAGAAGCAATTTTCGCTTTAATGAATTTCTTACTCAGTACTCTTCTACTGTAGCTGAATTATTTCACAATTTTTCTTGGAAACTTCTGTGTCAAATAAATGCAGTTGAACCATACGACTTATCGCAAAAATACAATTTCTAACTTTTATCTTGAATAGGTCAGAGTTAAATAATGGCAACTGAATAAATTCACATAGTTCAATGTCAAATATTTGCAGCTGAAGTCTGCCACAACGTTTTCCATTAGGAAAATACTGAATTCTGAGTAAGCAATCGCCTTAGAAATCCTCAACAATTTCCCAAGAAGTTTGGTTCATACAGTCTACGAGTTTGTTAAAATAGAAGTCAGTCTAGTTCACTGCACCTCCCCATGCACCAAGGGCATGTATGGGAATCGCGGAGGTCCGGTACCATTCAACGAACTACTGGTATATGAGTTGTATATATCTCTCTGAGTAGGTCGCTCTGGAGTATCTGAAACCAGAAAGAAATTCTAAATTCAGAACTCAATACATTCAAATATAAGGTAAGTTCTTGAAATACATATTTCAGCAAATAATGAGTAAACAATATCAATTAAACGTTAAACACTGTTAAGTTTAAGCAATGATTCTTAAGCAAAAGATAATCTGCTTTGCACAAAATATTCTTGCACTACGACTCATTTCAAAGACGAATACTACATAGAAAAGATTTGTATTTAAATGTATTTAAGTCAACAGACTTGTTTACTTAAGATGACATCAATGATAAGATCCTCACCTTCAGTTTTGCTTTCCGAATCTGATAAATTCACTGATTTGTTGTCACCTTCTGAATCTAGGTCAGCTGAATCTATAATAGTCAAATATATTATCAATTAGTCAATGGCGGTTACTCATAATGGTAGATTTCATGTTAAGAAGGATGTTGTAGTCCATAAATAAATAAAGCTTAAACTAGATAGTTGTATTGGACAATCAGTTAAAGAATTATCAAGTTTGAGACGAATGGAGCTCAGATTTAGATAGACTCGGACAATCATTTGAAGAATTTGTAAGGACTATGCAACTCTGGACAGCCTTGTCTACCAAAGGATCTCATATTTGGATCAAGCTACTACACCAATGTAACTGAACTATTTGAGTCTTTTTTTTTGATAACTTTTTATATCAGCAGGATGGACAATTTTTGGACATGAGTAATATTACTTATATTAAATTAATCTAAAAGTGTAAGCGTACCTGTATTATTCCTGTTACAATCGGGACTAGAAACCGGTTTATTATTATCAATACTGTTAATATCTAGGTTACTATGGTTACCATGCTGACCTGATGAGGAAATATCCATGTGTTCCTGAATTCTCTTTCGTACCTTCTTCTCCTTCTTCAGTCTCCTTTGTAATATTACTGAAAGAGGAGAAAGACATGAGAAATATTAACTTCCTTTTCCATTTGTAGAGACATATCATGCTGGACATTTAAAAATACCTTGTTGTTTTATCCATTGAAACATGTTTAAGATGAAAAATTCTAGCCAGGAGTGTTAATTTGGGTTGGAATTACTTTTCTGTTTTTTTGGCAGCCAAAGAGAAGTGCGCACTATATTCGCAATTATACAGTATATAGTATACTAAATCTCTTGTCTCTTAAACAATATTTACCTCTATTTTTCTGTTCCTCTAGTAATTGTTTCTCCACATTCTCTCTCATATCTCTTTCTTTCTTTAACTCCATTTTTAATTCAGCTGAAATTATAAAAAAAATTCCAAATTTGAGTAAAAAGATTTATTATTATCTCTTAAACAGAAAATTTAGCAAAAAATTTATTTCAACTTAAAGGAGTTACGAACCTAAAAATCATGGGGGAGTGTGCAGGACTAAGTCTTGTCTCCTTATAGTCAATAACAAAGTAATTAAAATCTGTAGATTCTAGAGAGTTTGTGAGTGTTAATGAGAAAATAAAATGAACAGACAGTTAGACATGGTTTCAAACAACATAGAAATAGAAATTTATAATAATGAAGTTGTTGCTTTGTAGGGTGATTTGTTTTGTCACATGATAAGGTAGAGTATATTTTCCCTGTAGCATAACAAGAATCCCATTCATTCATCCATTGATAATAATGTATTGTGATCCTTGCAGTGGTGGAGCTAGGTTTACGTCCGATGAGGGGGGGCGAAATATCTGAGGCTGCCTGAATTTCTAACCTAGTTATGAGATTTTGCCCAAAAAACTCGCTTTTGTGGCTGCGAGGAGGGCAGCTGTCCCCCCTTTCGCTCAGAATATAATGTGCATCCCTTAGCATCTCCAGTATATCTGGTCGAATCTCTGTATATGTTATTTTGTTCGTGGGAATGCTCCTTTATTATTTTTCAAATAATTTAATTAATGATCAAAAATGTTTCAATATCAAAATTTATTGTTTGTTTTGAAAAACGATAATTTGAGATATAATCAGCAGGAAAATTTGCAGAGAAAACAAACAATAAGTTTAAATAAGGAAAACGTTTCAATATCTCAGTCAAAAAAATAACAAAAATATTAAAAATATGTCTAGGATAACAAACACCTTCATTATATTAATTTAAAAATTATAAAATTTACATTGTATTGGCATTTCATTGTATCAGAAAAAACAAATGATATAGAAAGCAAAATGTCTGCTATATATTTTGATTTTAAACAAGTATAAAAAATAAGCAATATGTCCAATTATGGTCACAGAGAGATCTGATGAAAAATAACAGTTTTGTTTGTTGTTTTTGAAGGTTATATTATTGTTATTATACCTGGAGACTAATGTTTGTTATGATTGTAAAACTTATTAAATAAATATGAATGAAAGCTTATATTACTAATTAAAGCACTAGATGTCATACTGTTTCATCGCTAAGGACTGATGAAACGAATTTCCATTTGTTATTATTTGGAAAAAATAATAAAGAAGGGTGAATGAATGCAGGGAATCCTAGCATCACATTAAGGGCCACACCACAATTGTTTCTGACTAGAAGCCACAGGAAAAGTTATTGCAGACAACAATTCTGAATGTTAAAAATCAAGACCCCACAAAAAATTGAATATATCGGCAAACAGCAGTCAAACTTGCGATTGACTAAGCTATTCCACTTTCTGTATAAACAATAGATGTCAGAATGCTGACTAAACTATTCCACTGTCAGTATATAACAATAGATGTCAGAATGCTGACTAAGCTATTCCACTGTCAGTGTATAACAATAGATGTCAGAATGCTGACTTAACTATTCCACTGTCAGTATATAACAATATATGTCAGAATGCTGACTAAACTATTCCACTGTCAGTGTATAACAATAGATGTCAAAATGCTGACTAAACTATTCCACTGTCAGTTTATAACAATAGATGTCAGAATGCTGACTAAGCTATTCCACTGTCAGTGTATAACAATAGATGTCAGAATGCTGACTAAGCTATTCCACTGTCAGTTTATAACAATAGATGTCAGAATGCTGACTAAACTATTCCACTGTCAGTATATAACAACAGATGTCAGAATGCTGACTAAACTATTCCACTGTCAGTTTATAACAACAGATGTCAGAATGCTGACTAAACTATTCCACTGTCAGTTTATAACAACAGATGTCAGAATGCTGACTAAGCTATTCCACTGTCAGTTTATAACAACAGATGTCAGAATGCTGACTAAACTATTCCACTGTCAGTATATAACAATAGATGTCAGAATGCTGACTAAGCTATTCCACTGTCAGTATATAACAATAGATGTCAGAATGCTGACTAAGCTATTCCACTGTCAGTATATAACAACAGAATGCTGATTTGGAAATAACTGATAATTGTCACTCAATTACCTGAAGTATTTCTTCAATTATAAACATTACTGTTAATTTACATGGACAAAGGATTTTATTAATGCTAAATGGTTTGCCATTTTATCTGTTATCATCTAAAATCTATACATGTCTACTTAAATACTGATAGATAAATAGATATACTAATTTTTATTAAAGGGGTTGTTAAGAGGTTTTCTAAATTTTTTATGTGTATCAAATCAGGGACACTGGTAGCCTTAATTTGCACATTTCAATTTTCAATCAGACGTCTGTGGATCTTGCAATTCCACTAAAAATAAGTGATTGATGATATCATTAATTGCAAAATATGCATTATCACATAAACCACATTACAATCCCTTTAACATTACCATTGGCTAAATTTATTGGAATAGAAACATGAAGTGGAGTTATAAGCTCACAGCTTTTGACAGAAGGACTACCAACTTTAAAAGACATTAACTTTTATGTCTCCAAGGGAGAAGCCAACTTTAAAAGACATTAGTTCTCAACAAGTTCATTATAAGCCACTGGTCTGAGTATTAATAATCTTTAATATCCCATTCTTCATTGTAATCATCAAGTGCAATTTAATTATCAAATTATTATTGAACGGGAATTGACTGTCACACATTGCTAGTAACATTATAGTTCAACATTGTTATTTTGCTTGTATATTGCAAACTTTTCCTAGGGTTATTTCCTATTGAATTGAATTGAATTGAATTGAATGGAATGGAGTTTTACATCCTACTTTTCTACACTAATGAAGACGGTATATTTCCTGATGAGGTTTGTGTATCAGAAACCCATCTTGGCAAAAAGAAATAAGGTCTCATTTATAACTACTAGGTTATATTTCTATTTGGAGTTGAAAGATACAATAGTGTAACATCTGAATTACATCATATTTCAATGGTTTAGTCATGTTAATAACTTTTCACAATTTAAAATATATCACTTCACAAACTTGCCCTTTATTCAGTGGTACATTTTCAATAAAAATTTGTATTTTATGATCTGAAGAGACAAGAATTGCTAATATTTTGTAACAGTTTTTCTACGTAGAATCCCAAAGTTTTAATTTATTACAGTGTATCATAATGATTTCATTAATATGCTTTGATTAGGTTATAGACCGAAGGTTTAAAACCATTTAAACTAAATAATAACTATACAACACCAGTTTAAATCCATTAATTAGCTTTAATTCAATTGTAGGTTCAAAATTCCATTCCAAATTAATTTGATAATTAGTTTTTAAGACTAATTAGAATAATGGGCATGTCTGCCGAGTTTGGGGAAAGGATCATCAAAAATACATTTATAATATTAATGTCAAAACCATGACGAATTTGATGAAATTCAAAACATGAGAAATTGACCATTTAATGAAAGATAAACGTGCATGTAAAAATCCTGGCCACTTTTTAAACTTCCATCTTTAAAACCAAAACAATTAGTCTGTTATCTTAAGAGATGGTGTCAAACATCAACTTGCTTTCTGCAGGTATAAAGGATCCATTCCAATAAAGATGTGTGATATTAGCAAATTTTAACAATGAACATTAGTTGAGTTGTTCTCCACCTACACGGTTTATTTTTGTGGCTTTGATATAGTTTACTCGTTAGAAAGTTTAATTGCTAGTGGGTTTGAATACTACTCAAGGTGGGAAAAATTATGATGCTATGGCCAGTTTTACCAAGAGACAACTCAATCACCTCTGATCTTTTAAGATAGAAAAGAAGAAAAAAATTTACAGAACAATAACCATTCACCTCAAAGCACTGTATGCAAATTTTCACAAACCATTCTCTAAATCGTTAAAATTAAACGAAGCAAGACAATTAGCAAAAGAGTTTCTGGAGATGTTTAAAAGAAAAGACAAAATAAATTCGATATAATATTTTTCAAGTACATTAAAATTCTCATGGAAATTGTATTCAAGTGTGTCTGATGCACAAATGAGACGTTTCTTCTATTTATTTTGAATTGATTTCTCAACAGACAAAAGCCGAGGAAAATAATTCTGTCATTGATTTTTTAGATAATTTTTTTTTAGAGAATCAGTCAATAATAATTGTTCTTTTCGTTGTTTTTTTTGTTTCGATGTTGTTGTACAGAGCTATTAGATTCTATACTTGAAACTTGGAATTATTCAACTAGAAACCAGTTCTTAATACATTGTCATATTTCAATCAAAACTTTACTAATTATCACTGACAGAAGGTATCTCTAAAAAAAAATGTGAATATTGGAAAATACAATTCCCTTTATACAAAATAATCTGGTCAGGATTTATGGAAATAATAGGGCTGTGTTCATTTTCAGAAAAGTAGGACATTTCATTTTACTGTAATCATTTGAATTTACAGTAACCTCAGATGTCAGAAAAGAAGAAAATAATCAGAATGATGGTAATAGAAGCTATAAGTGTGCCTGATACATAAAATGATTAAAAAAACTACTTTGAATCCTTCAACAGAGTATTTTCGATGTTCAAAATAAAAAACTAAGTGAGTAAAGGTATACTGTATATTTGTGTGTATAACGCAAAATTTTTACCCTAAAAAGAGCTTGCCAAACTAGGGGTGCTCGTAATACACAGAGCAGAAATTTTCAACACAAGTTCCCCAAACAATATTGACGATCCTCTATTATATAATCAATCACTGATGATCAATTTTTGTCAGATTTTTCCCCAAGATTATCTTGTATCATAATATTAATTCTAATCATATTATGATGTCAGTACCAAGTAACATGAGGAAAACAGCGCTTTAGGTTCAAATCCCAATAACAGTGAGAAGTGAAATGAAGATATCTTCCTTTCCTTTGAAAGATCATCAAATATCCATGGTGTTAATATAAAATATGAATATTTAGCTCT